TAGATAGATAGATAGATAGATAGATAGATAGATAGATAGATAGATAGAAAGATAGATAGATAGATAGATAGATTAAAAGTATTCTTATTTACGTTTGTTTGTCGCGTTCAATCCTGGACGGAGGAGGGGGGTCAGAACAGTTATTACACTGGGTGAGATATGTCTGCTTAAACATTAGATGCCGTAACAAACGCTATAACAAAAACCTGCAGAATGTCCTAGTAGTCTAGAATTCATTATTATCTCAATGAGCCAAGCTTTCGATCCTGAGGCTACGAAGCAATCCCAAACCAAGAAATGCCACTTAAATGCTTAATAGTCTGTAGTTTTTTGTTAGAATGCAGCATCTGACTTTTTCCAAATAAAATTTGCCAAAATAAATTCATTTTCGTACCATCTATCCACAGAACACTGTTACAATAGCATCTTGATTAACATGGATATCAGACAATGCAAGACGTCCCTACAAATCATTCACCATTATTCTAGATATTTTGCAATCTCCTGGAGCGTAGAATATCTTGCCCTTGTGATGAATGACTGTTTTTGGAATCAATGGTGTTTCATTTTCTTCATTTGTAATCTGATTGTGCACTGATGGGAGGTCAAAGACTTCGGCAATGGTTTTGTAGTCCTTTTCAGACTCATGTGTGCAAAAATTTCTTTTGATCAGCACATAATTCAACTTATCTACGTTACAAAGATCAAACCCTGGCTGCTGAAACCATCTTTTTTTTTAATAGCGAAAGCCCTCTAAAATAGAGAGAGCAGACGTGATTGTTATCTCGCCAATTAGAATATTTTACTTAACTTATTGCCTTAAGGTTTCCACATTTGTTTCCTAATAAACATAGGGAATTTTGGCTTAGTACATTAATGAAGATATGAACACTACATTGTTTTATACTATTTATATTGTTTTAACAACAATTTCTATTAATAAGACTGAGATGAAGCTCTGATCACACTACAGATCAGTATTGTAGAATTACAAATAGTTCAAGAGCACTCTCAAACTTTTTCTTACCCATGTAGCTTTCCGCAGCGGAAATCCAAAATCACGCAATCATCATATACTCTCTGCTGCAGTTTGGCAATTTGTAGAAAACATTGCAGGCGTTTCACAAATTCCTCCTGCGTGTAGGAGGAGTTCAACAGAAACCTAACTTTATTCTAGATTTATTATGCTAATTTGTGCACTTAGAAACAGGTGCTTTCAAAACTAACAATACAGGGATGCTGTTGCAGGCACTACAATGATGTATGCAAATGCCAATATTTCAATGAATAGCATTTTATTCGCAAAGAGAAAATGGTATTTGTACTGCTTATTTCTAGTGCAGTTGCAATTTTAAATATATAATCATAATGATCAAAATCCATTACCTTATTTTCTTCACCTTGCCTTAATCTCCCAGGACTTGGTGGAACTGAAGGGCGCTTCCTCCCTTTTTCTTGTTGGAAGAGATCTTGCAGCCTATAACAGATTTCATATTATCATATGATATTCTGATATATCTAACGCCCAAAAAATATTAGCAAGGAATCAACTTTTCCCTGAGATACATAAACCGTTTAGAGAACGAACCTTAAGAAGACAAGCAAGCCTTTTATCTGGAGTTCATTCAAGTCATATTTATTAGATTGTTAATTGAAAACCACACTGAAATGACAACATAGTCCTTCTTTTATATTCAGCAGTCAATGCAGCCTATTCAGAATGTGCCAAATGTCTGATAAATGCTTACTTTATTACCCTATCAGTATCTAATTTTAATAAAGAAATCCAATATTTCTTTGCCCTCTTCAAGGGCAGCCCTTGAAGAGCATTCGGAGACTTCAGCTTGTCCAGAATGCAGCCGCGCGAGCGATTATGGGTGCACCCCGGTACACCCATGTCACACCTATCCTCTGTGAGCTGTGCTGGCTACCTGTTGATCTCCAGACACGCTTCAAGGTGCTAGTCATTACTTTTAAAGCCCTACATGGCATCGGACCTGGGTACTTGAGAGACCGCCTCCTGCCAATCACCTCCCTATGACCA